TGCCACGTTTTTCCAAAAAGGACATGGATGATATTCCAGCGGAAAACATCCTTAAAAAGCATCCACAACCTGCCTGCCATAGTCGTGAACAATATAAATCTGACTAGCAATATGCTGTCGGTAAAATGTTTCTGCAACAGACATTATGGATAACGACAGTAGTGACATGAGCGCATGTTTTTGCAGTACCAGTTTCCAGAAAATTATCCTGAAATCACAAAGTTTGTCAATATCAAGATTTTGTACAAAACTTGTTAACACCTGCTTTCTTATTTTGCTGTAAGATGACGTTATTTCTGGTGGAAGGCGATATACCCACTTTACCCAGAATGGTACCCAATATTCCCTGACCATGGCATACTGTGGGGGAAAAGGATATATGACTTAATTCAATCCTTTAATGACAAAAATAAATTCTTTGACCTGGTTATGAGTGGTTATAAGCTTAACGTACATTTTATGATGTAAAACTTTAGCAAATCATACAAATAGTCCGCTCAGAGCTATTGCATGAAAAATGTTGCTTAATTTATACCCATTTTACACCGGGTGACCCTACCGCTACGGGGGCTGCTTCGGAAACTGTCGTTCGATTTGGAGCACATGTGTGGACACCATGCCCTTGTATGCGTTGATCTGTGGGTGCGTTTTGGCGGGCGTCGTCGACGACGGTATACGCGCATAGACACCAGCCAACTGCAGAAGCCAGCTGTTCTGAATGCGTATCGAAGTACGCTGAGATTCGCAGTGAGTAAGCGTTCAGTGAATAAAGTTGAAGGTCACTGGTCGTATGTACACCAGACCTTACTAGAAGCAAAAAAGTCCTCATGTGGTATGTCTAATCGTTAACATAAACAATGGGTCTCTTCGTAGTCTCTGGAACTTATCAGTGCTCGCCGGCATATTCCGGCTGGAAGCGAACATAGTGAAACTAACAAAGAGCTCCGGGCAAGACACCGTGCTAGGCTGAAGAGAGACCGCGAATCCTGGTGGTCTCATGGTGCACCAGAGATGGAAATGGCCGTTGTCCTTGGTAACTATCGGAAGTTATTCCGGCTGATACGGGAAACGGGCAGCAGGAGACCTGGTTGTAGTGAAAAAGTTTGTGACGAGAGTGGACAGCCTATCCACAACTCGTGAAAACGCTTGGGGCGTTGGGCTGAGCACTTTGAAAGGCAATTTAGTCGGCCGAAACTGTTAGATTTCTCACCGGTAAATGATCGCGCTGTTCCCTGGGCAAGTCGAACGTGAGGTCGGACCGTTGAAGCTGAATAAAGTCACGGGACTAAATGATCTTCTTCCAACCCTCTTCGAATTCGAAGGCCTTGTTCTTGTTGATGTTTTTCACAAATAACTCGTGAAACTGTGAGAACAGGAAACTGTCCCGACCGACTGGAGCCGCAGCGTTATTGTCCGGATCTGTAAGGGAGGCCCACGTTCGGAATGTGGTAATCACAGAGAGCTTCGAGTACCCATCGTATGTCTAATCTCTATAACTTCTCAAGTGCTTGCCTCCCTCATCCTTCACAGATTGACCACCATTCGTGTAGGTCAGATTTGTGAAGAGCAAGTCGAGTTTCCTAGAGGTCAAGGCTGCATCGACCAAGTATTCACATTACGTCAGTTGTTGGAGCACCGTCACATATAGGATAGGCCCACCGTGAACGTGTTCCTCGACATCAAGGATGCCTTCGATTCGGTGGATTAATGTGCCCATTAGGACTGTCAGCTAAGTAAAGTGTGCCTGAGAAAGATGTAAATATTATCCGAGCGCTTTACGCGCGTAGCTCGGCAGAGTGATAACTCACGGTAAGCTGTGGCCGCTCTTCAATATCGTCAACGGTGTAAGACAAGGATGCCCGCTGTCACCTTTCCTCCTCAAATTCGCTATTTATGAAGTCATGGAGATTGCGCTCACAGTGCACGAATTAGTAGGTGTGGAATAGCTCCAGGTGAGCGACCTCTTGACTCAGAGTATGCTGACGACATTGCGCTTATCTGTGGCAGCTCATAAACATGCCAAGCAGCCTGGACAGATAAGCACTGGATGTCAGGCGTTTCGGCTATGCTTTGCTCTCTCGCAATGCAAAGTTTACCTCCAAGTTTGGTAGGGACTGATGGCTGCGCTGACCCTTGGTGGGGATCAACTAGAAGTCGTTGAAAGATTTGACTACCTCGACAGTTGTATCAGCGCCGCTGGAATGGTAGACGAACTCACAAAACGTAAACCAAGAGCTCGGGGTGCTTTTGCTAATCTTCGTCATCTATGGCGTCAGCGCGACATCACTCCATGAAAAGCAGTGTACATTGCAGAAGTACATCCGATCGACCTGCACCATCGTGAAACCTGACCCATTAAATCATCAAACGAAAAGTTAATGAGGTTCAACAGCCGGTGTCTTCGCAGTTCCGCTCATAACTGGTGGTAACATGGTGTGAGCAATGAGCGTGTTCGATGCCTCGTTTATGGCACAGGAAGAAGAAGCAGCGAACTGCTCAGCACCGTTATATCACGCACCAAACTCCGATGACCGGGCCACGTGTCGAGCATGCCAACGCACCGATTCTCGCGACGTGCGTTGTTTGCGCGCCAGGGGTGTGGATGGAAGCGGAGGAGGGGTGGCCAAGTTATGACTTGGTCAAGAGGAATGAAGATTTTTAATTCAAAGCTGGACACGGTTCGAGCCTCCTGGCTCCCTGGTTGGGGTTCGTAAAACGACGAACACGTCTGGTTGGATACACTTGTTGATATGGCTAGGAGCGGACCTCAGTGGCGTTCGTGTTGTGACTTTCTTTGTCCCTCCCCCTCCCGCTGAGAGTCTTCCACCAACCACAAGCTCAATTCATATGCCTAATATAATACTACTTTTTGCGGCACAATAGCAGGCTGGCAGCTCTCCGGAATGACGTCCATCCGTTACTGGTGACACAGCCGCCGTACCTTTGTCGCGTTTCTTCGTTTCTTTTCTCATGTACTGTGGCGCAATACTTGAGGTCTTATCCACATCTAGCTAACGTGTTAAAAAATAATTTGGATTGTGAACCACACTAAGAAGTGAGCCGTGGCCAGTCCGATCATCGGCATTGTGTTCCAAATTAGCCACCGCCCTGCAAAGGATCATTACACATAGTAGCCGTTTTGGACACTCGAGCACTGCATGACTCTGAGCCGTGAAAGCAACGAATTAAGAAACTGGTACAAGCAGTGGCTGATCAAACCGAAGCTACGTGACAGCAGCAACAATAGCACAATAAAAACTGTAAAGTTAAACATAATTCATACTACAACAAAACACTCACTCGAATGAACAGATCTCATATGCATTCGTACATTACACTTCATAGGAAACGATTTACCACACTGTTCACATGTGTAGGGGCGCAGTGCTGAATTAGGGAACACAAAGTGTATAGTATTAGAGGAAGCACAAGAAAAAATCATCCACGGAATAGTGGATAATAAGTTAGAATAGGAGCACAAACTTTATCGTGTAGCACAACCATGAGTATAAATAATGAATCAGGGGACTCGCCATGTAAATTAATCGCCGCTGATGTAGGGCAATCTCCAGACTGGGAACTAATGGTTAATAGTATGTGGCGCCTACACCTAATAATTGCTTCATTCCAATATAATGTCCCTGGCCAGATGTTATACATTCCGGCACACTATAAATTGTGAATGATAATGAAAATGGAAGGCACCTCACCGGGACAATACCGGCAAGCAATGGGTAATGCAGCCGTCGCCGCAGCGGAGATGAAGTACGACACATGGTGAGACAAATAGCAGAATCCATTCCGCTAACATCTGATCGATCACAGGGTTTATCTCTCGGATCCAACCACACGCTTTGAATGCCTATAACAAAGATATCCTTAAGTGTTGAACATTCTTCATCTCCAGATGGCTAAGCACAACAAGTTTGCCGATTTGTCATTGCCACTGACCTAATGGGATCTCAACGCAACCGCGCACATCGAAACAATTTGGTTCCCATGCACCTGATTCTGTGTGGGGTAAGAAGTATCGTGGCTTCCTTTCACGTGAAAGTTTCCACCGAACTCTGTGAGTGTCCTCGATCCCAATCCAGACCTACGGCACAAACCAAAACCAGTGTTCCCATCAGGCTCCAACATGATTCACTGCAAAAACTGTCAACTCCGTCCTGTGTTCACGGTAATCAAGCCCGCCAGGACTCTGAAAATTTGTTTTACTATCTTATCTGATCCAATGATAACCTTGTAACAATGTTGAACAGGGGGATATGGATATACCGCATTACCGGCAGCGCCAATCGTCGTTCGATGATTTCTATCACCGATTGTCGAAAACAACCCCGCTCGTCTATTGTCATGGACCTCGCCGACACTGGTTATGCAACCAAGTTAAGTCATCCGAAATGATTTTTAGGTACCGGACAATCGATCAAGGTGCGTTTATAAGAATCCACCGAGGCCATCGCGATTCCACTGTACAAGCGTTCAGATACGGTTCGCTCAAACGTTAAGATGGATTTGGCGCAAGAAAAATAAGATGTTTAGAGCACGGAGCACGCGGGGGACTAGCTCAAGTTGATGATTAACCCGAGTTATTAGTGAAACTGGAGTAGGAAAACGACTGGAACCGCTCCGTTATACTCCCGATCATTGAGAGAGCATTCGTGTTCGAAAAGCGGTCATCATCGAAGAAAGAGCAAGTCAACGTAGTGGGAGTTAGCTGGAGTGACCGCTGGGTGAATAGAATGCAGCACACAGTCACAACAAGGACCTTGAATATATATGAAGTGGATCTCGATCATCCCAGCCATACGATCCAACAAAATCATCTGTTTCATAGCACAGTAGTCGATATGGAAATTCGACCACTACGAATTTGGATAGTGAGTTTCATAACACGAGAAGCATTGTGCACCGATTGTTACACGAAAAATACGCAATATGACCGACCAGTTAAAAGAAAAATGGAAATTAAGTGACGCTAACAGCTATATACTCACCAAAATGTACGAAGTCGACATGTCTTCGCAAAATGCGTTTAGCAGCAAACGATTTGTCGCAGAGTTCACATAAATAGGGGCGATGATCTGGATAATAAACCAAAAGATGAGTAACTGAAGGAAAAGTACGGTGAGAAAACGCAAACAACAGAGAGATATATATCTAATGGTACACAACTGCTGTGCCACATCAAGTCAGTAGTCTTAAGAAAAAGAAGCCATGATTCGCTATACAAAACAACGCAAGACACCATGCGATATTGTGCAACAAAAGATACAGAATGTTATGCGTCCTTGGCCATGGCAATGAGGCTGGACTTTATTGTGGTGCGATAATTTGCGTGCTTCAGAGATCTATTAAGCTATGCTGGGTGGTGCACATTTGCACCTTCAAAGCCACTCATACCAGATTGGTCAATGGTTAGAGGCCAGACAAACTCAGTCTCCTGGTCCTCAGGGTTGGGGGTTGGAATGAGGTGGCTCCTTATTCCTTAAAGCGGACTGTTGTAGCCCAACACCAAACCCGCTGCATTGCGGTCAGGTTTTTGAACCAAAGGCTTTGGTTGAGAACCCTAATCGTTCTCCTGTCTAGATCTGGGCAACGTGACAGTATCCTGCCCACGCAATACTAAGAATGTTTTCTCAAACAATTTCCTGATGCTCTGGCCACCGCAGAAGATACTCAACGGTGCCGTATGTGCTGCATCGAGCAAGGTGGATAGGAGTTTAGATGCTACTGCTCAAGCCTTCCCTTCTTCTTATTCCCCTTCTTACGCTTTCTCACCCCTATCGTCCCGTTCCAGCTTCACTTTTATCCACCAATTCTAGGCCCCCCTCCACCTTGCTTTGATAGGCTTTTACCTTTTAGTTTCAACTCACATGTGAACGCGGAGCGTCATTCCTGCCCTGTCAACAGGCCCATGTCCACGCAAGCGGTCAAGCCCAGTTCAACAGCTTCCATTTGGAGCCTTCGATCCTCCTTCAGAGTGGCATGCCTCAATTTACGCACACTGCTACAAATCCGTCAACAGACAGCACTTGCTCGGACACTAGAGATGCTCTCGATCGATATCTGCTGCTTATCAGAGACCCGCCTACAAGACTCGAGCACTGTCCTCACTCTGCGATCCCCTTCAGGTGACACCAGCGGCACTTCCTCATTGCGCTTATCCGGTGAGGATGAAGCTTCGAGCACCAGCCAAGCTGGTGTTGGTACTGCCCTGAGTCCCCGGGCTGAAGCTGCTCTGGTTGACTGAATTCCAATCAGTAGCCGGATGTGTTCTGTCCGATTGGCTGGCTCATTCAAAGTACCGAAGTCGAGCGGGACTAACAGGTGTCTATTCATTATCGTTGCCTATGCACTCAAAAACTCCAGCGATTATCCGCTAAAAGAAGAACTCCAATCATCAAATGAACGAGCTCCTTCGCCACAGAAGAAGGGCGGACACTGTGATGCTCGCTGGGGATCTGAACGCTCAAGTTGTGAAATTATGCACTGATGAACTGCATCTAAGCGGTCAACATGGTGTAGGCTCCCGTAATGATAACGGTGAGCGGTTACTTCATTTGTGTGAAGATGCCCGCTTATTTCTTGCGAGCAGCACCCGGCGGAAGGTGACTTGGCGCCCACCAGCATCAAACCAGCCATGGACGCAAATCATTCACATTGTGATAAGTTACCGATGGAGAGACTGCGTCCAGAACCGTCGCTCGATTTGGAGCACATGTGTGGACACCGACCATGCACTTGTATGTGCTGACCTGCGGATACGCTTTGGCCGACGCCCACGGCGATGTTGTGACCGCATTGACACCAACCAATTGGCGAAACAACCTGTTCTGAATGCATATCAAAGTATGCTGGCATGCGAGTTGAGTAACCGCTCACAGGTCTCATATTCACCAGATCTTACTAGTAGCAGGAAACTCCTCATGTGGCAAGTCTAATCGCCAACATGGACATTGGGTCTCCTCGCAGTCTCTGGTACTTACGGATGCTCGTAAGGAAGAGGATGAGGGGTGGCTAAGCGATGACTTGGTCGAGAGGAATGAAGACCCTCAATTCGAAGCTGGCCTCAGTTGGAGCGTCTCGGCAACCTCTTTGCGTTGGGCTGGATACACTTGTTGATATGGCTGGTAAATTACTCTTTTGCTGCATAGTAGGCGGCTGGTAGCTAACCGGAAGGATGTCCATTCATTACGCGTAGCACAGCCGGCTTGAATCTGTTGCATCTTATTCCCTTTTTTCTTTTAAGTATTGCGGCACCGTAGCTGAGGTGTTTCCAACCTCTAGCTAACGTGTACAATGAAGAATGATGATGATATGTGTCCTTGGAAATAACGATGACCTGATTACAATCATGGCGTGTCCAAATCAGCTGAACAGATTAGATGACATTTCACTGGAACGATGAAAACCGCCGTTAGAAGACACAGTCCAAGCACTGATAATTACTCCTTGTAAGTTCCACATAGTCTCTACAGTCAACACTCGATCGGCTGCCACGCGTCATCTCGGATCCAGGTGCCCATCTCTATTAGTTAACCAGAACACATCGCACAGTGATAACTTCCACTTGCCACCAAATTAGTAACTACAGTGCGAATTCACGCTCCTAGCGATCATAGCTGTCCGATATGCCTATAAACCGCACGCAGCACAATGACTAAAGTCAAACCGGTCGGCGCAGGCAGGTTATTGTCTGGAGTCCATCGAACACTGACGGTTCGCTGCACACAAAACACATTGAATAATTGCAGTTCAAATAGTACAATTTCTACAACACTTTGCTACCGATTAAGTCAACATCTATCCAATCATACAATCCCATAGTTGGTACCGCGGTAACAAAGCGACATCCAAAAATGTCAATGATACATGTATGACTTTTTAAGATTACACTGGACATCCAGTGGGTCGAAACAAAAGGTATTGAGTGGAACTGACTATTGAAAACCGCCAACGCACACAGCGTGCGGTCAACATGAGCTACTCACCGTGCGAATGAATTGCGACCCGTAAGTGCGGAACGTTCCAAAACTTGTCCCTATATTCTGCAAATGCGCGACCAAGGGCCACTACTTCGGGTGTGGGCTAGAGCCCGCGCAATTGCCAAAGGTCCAATAGTACACGTTGGTCTATCGCAAAATATATCACCCGGTCATAAGGGTGTAGAACGACCGCATCTGAGTATATCTGAGTGCATCTGAGTACATACCTTTGTACTTGCCGATGTCGTCCATCGTGAAAACGCTGGTTGGGTTGAAGTCAACCTACGGCACGCCACAGGGCAAGTTCATCGATCGATACATACCTTGCGTCGGACTGCGTAGAACGGAGTCAGGCGTGCAAAATCAAAACAGCAGTGCCTGATTGCCGGTCTACTGCGGTAGAATCGTGGTTACGCCTGCACAGCCGTTACTGGCCTGAGCAAGAAGTATGCAATAGGTGCTTAGTGTTATCCCACTTAGTGATAGAAGGGGGCAAAATTTAAATATTTTTATTCTCGTACCGAAACTCTATACTGCCTTTTCCATCACGCTTACTAATAGACACAACTGGAGTGAAACCGCTTTCGCGAACGCATGTCGGATGAAGACGCCAATTTTCGTTTACCGCTTTTAATTATTCTTCCTCAGTGATGCTTATTGTTTACTAATCTGCAGTGTTGGTGTAAAAATGCTGAAAATACACCCATACTGGTGTGTAGAGCTTACTTTGACTTGACTTGATAATGCTGAAATATTTCGTTCCTCAAAATGACAGCAGCGTGGAAAATGGCAGATATTGTGTATAAAGAAGGGCCACAGCTCAGAGCAGGAAGTTTTGAAGAAATATTATGATACTGTAGAGCGTTTCTGTCGAGACAAAAATAGGATTTCAACGCTGAAAATACCTTCTAGATTATCTCTTCTGCTGGCATAATTGAACACCATCTGGTTTTCCCGTATCCCAGAGTGTGTTGGTATTCCACCATTGTAAAGTCATCGAAATCTTTTAGTTCTTCAACACGAACAGTGTAAATGTAAAAGTAAGAATATATTTTCGCCACAACTGTGCCAACATCAACAGGACGACAGTCAGCTGCAGTTTGCAATGTGTTGTGGACAATGTGAGCCACGTAACTAGTTCCCACAAATGTTTCTCTAATCGAAGATTTTAATTTCGCAAATGCATTGTTTGGTCCTTTTCTCTGAACGCCACCGAAAATTGTGTTGCTGTTGGCATCACAAAATACCATAATTTTCTGGTCATATCATTCTGTTCAAACACATTTTTTATAAATTTACAAATGGTTCCCAATGTGTAACCAGTAAGTGCCTGCAGGTCTTATAAATTAACGATAAAGAATGACGTCACAAAATAACTCACAGGAAGTGGGAACACGTTTACTTCCTTGTGACTTGAAGCGTCTGTGTATATTGACACGATTTTTACTTTCTTCAGTTTTTCTTGCAATTTTTTTGTCCAATGGGAACAGGAAATTAATTATTATTGTTATTTCCTCACTTCTTTAGCATCAGCAAATTTTGGCTCAAACAATTTCTCTACCAACTTTCTGATGCAATTCATGGAGTGGAAAGCGTGCTTATGAAATATAGCATGATAAGAGAAGGTACCATCTGCGGCTGCCAACTTGGCTTCTGTTTTTCTAAACGTTGCTGATCGGCAAAAAATATTTCAGGTGTAGACCATGCTGCCGCAGAGACTGTTACTTTATAACGATCCGATTTTAAGTGCTTTATGATGTCTGATGTCACCGTGGGCCATGGAAAATTAGGAATTCCACTTGTCACTGGGACATGCGAATCTTTGTCGCGTGTCATCTTCTTAATGAATGGAAAATCACTCTCCATAAGCGCCTCCTCACGAAGCATGGCCATGTCATACCGTGGAAAGGAACGGTGTTGATTGCACCTCAAGCATATGTATACCTCGAGCTCCCATGTAAGGGTAACATCGCTTCAACGATTGTAACCTAGCGCTTAATCGTCACTCATAGAACCTACTGTGCTGCAGATGCTCTGATGATCAACAGAACCCGGAAATTATCGCTGCGTTCAGTAAAAGAAGTGGGACTCATCAG